CATCCTTCTCCCCACTTCAGAGAGGAGACGGGCGGGGCACGGGAACCTCCCGGGTACCAAAAAGGTCAGAGTCAGAGCGTTTCACTAAGAACAGACTCCAGAGTTACTTCACACGGTCAGAGGCTCACATAAAGTCAAATACGAAAAATCCTTCACGGAGTTCATCGCGCGTCGTACGAACATGGAACTACCGCGGGCTCAAAGCGCAGCGAGTCCCTCGGGCGTTTTTGTCTCCCCATGTTACAACCCATTTTAAGGCTGCCTGTACTCACTTCCCCCTCCGTCACTGCTCCCCAGCACCTGTAGCTTCAGTTCTTTACTTCTAGGTCCCAACTCCCTGTTGAAACAGAAAAAGATGGGCTGGTATTAGGCAGTCTTTGCAAAGCGGCTGCGGAGCAAACAGCCCCATTCCGTATCTTCCCCCCCTCAAATCTCACACGCCTCGCCACCTTTTCCAAAGTTCTGGTATGCACACACTACTTTGGAGGACGCAACAAGGGACGGCACGCTATACAGAAGTGTGCCGTGGTTCACGTCCCCTGCAGAGCCGCGTAGGCTGCCAGGGGAAGTCGAAAGGGCGATCCGTCCGGAAGGCCGAGATTTACGCTCCCGACCTTCTGCGCCTGCCGCTCTCACGCGCCGGCCATGATCAGCGCTTCTGCCCATCCAGTTTAAACACAGAGCATCCAGAGGAGCGGGAAATACGTATGCAAGCTGGGGCCAGTCGCTGGCATCGGTAGCCCGGCAGGCGGGCAGCACAAACACACGCCGCCCCACGGTGCGGACTTGGCCTCTGCGTCGTCCGCATGGGTCACTGCGGCGCGGTGACGACGCCCAGAGACCGTGCCGCCCAGAAGGAGGGCGGACACTTACAGGAAGAGCTCCTCCTTCCACTCCATCTCCACTGCGGTACCAGCGCCGCCAGCTGTCGCTGGCCTCGTCCGCTTCTGCTGCGGGGGGCTGTCCAGCCCCGCCACACAGCGTATCTCCCCAACTCCTGCAACAGAGGGACAGGGCACACGCGTGCGCTCGTCACCACAAGACAGTGGCTGGCCGGACCCACGCCCCTCTTTTCCCATTCCAACCCACCCGAAACACCCACTCGCTCCAGTCTCACTGCCTGTGCGCTTGCCCCCGCAGACCTGCAACGTTTTCAGGCTTACCTCCCTTCCCCTGGCAGCCCAAGTTCAGCACTCGAAGATTCCGGAGCAACAGCTTAGAAGCCAGAGGGGCTGCTGCTACTCCGGACGGGGACTCTCGCACCAACTTATCGCTGGGTACCTGAGGAACGACGAGAGCGGGACAGATGCCTTTATCGTCCACACGCCAGCAAACAGCAGCAAGACACGTCACGTTCATCCTCGCATCTACTAAGTAGCTCCTCGCACCAACATAGGGGAACACCCACAGAGTCCTCGAGAGATGCTGCAGGTTCCCCAAGCTATCGACCTCCAGCGGGCCCCCGTGTTGTTTCGGATGGGAAATTTGAGGCAGACAGGAAAAAGAGGCAGACGAGAACAAGCTCGCCGGCTGCCAGACGGACAACCCAAGACGACAAACCACGGACCGTTCCGTGCCCGTAAAGGCTGCCCTGGACAGAGCCTCAGCGGTCAGAGCAAGTGAGAGACTGCCGAAACGGAGACGTATCTCGGGCAGTCCAGCTCCGCCTCAACACGGCCAGCACCCGGCGTCCGGGAAACAAGGTACAGACAGAGTCGCCCTTCAGAGCGGTTTCCGATTATCCCTACTCTCTGTGCCACAGGACCCCACCTCCCGTGACAGTGCAGGCCAGGGCGCGGCCGTCGCCCAGAAGCAAGCCTCAACCCCCGGGTTCCCACCCAAGCCTCAGCCCTCAGAACCACCCCAGGGCACAGCGTACGGAGGCACAGGAACGACGCAAGGAGAGCGCCTTACCGCACCAGCTCCAGCGGTGCAGGCCTTCAGATTCACCATCATGGCCGGCTGCGTGCTGACAATGGTATCTTCAATCAGATCCTTTACAGTGGACAGATCCGCTCTCCCTTCGTTCTTCTCTCCACAAAGCAAGAGGAAACGCAGGGAAGTCGTAACGAGACAGACGCGTATTCTCCTTACACAGCTCCAACTGCCTCTCGAGCCTCTAAGACGCTACACGGTCTTTCTCCCGGTAATAACCTCCCAGGTACTCTTCCCATAGCCTGCGCTAGCTCTCCCCAGCGCTTAAAGCTTCCGTCTAACAGCTGCAGGCAGACGCAAGCGGTCTAAATGAGAAAAACTAAGCCTATACATCTGAAGTCTACCTGTTGCGAATTTTGACAATGCAGCTTTTATAGTTCGCCACTGCCTCGTCACCTCGTGAGATGGTACTACTGCAGTTTTGGGAGAACAGCCAGATTCCTACATCTACTCGGGATAAAGCAGCAAGGGTGTCAATAAAAGAAACAAATCAATCAACCTATTCGGATCGCAGGAGCGCAAGCACGCCCGCGTTCAGCTCGTTCAACCTCTAATACCCACGGGTTCTGCATGCTAACCTCTCAAAACCCCCCCAAACCAACCGACGGACCAACAACAAAAACCCCCACGAACCGACCCAGCTGATTTTGCAGCTCTATATCTGACAAGAGCAGAGCACCTACGTAGACAGAAAGCCTTTTTCACTACACAGATTCCCATTGAGCTGTTACACCAAACTCGGACAACAGACATCGGGGTACTGCTTCAGCCCTCTCGAGGATGCGCTGTTTTGACAGAGCTGAGCTAGTATCGATGCGAGGGCAAACGAATCGCCTCCCTCGCCCTAAAGGGCCACGACAGCGAGTCGCCAACCTCTCCCCTCCGCGGCAGCCTTCCTCTCAGCTCAGCGCCGTTTCTGCCCCTCCCACCCTTCCTCCACTCAAGTCTGGCCTCCCACCGTTTGTCACTCACCTCGCAAAGTTGAAGTCTCGGAAGAACCAAAAGGTTCAAGTCTGGTCTGTCCTTGAAGGTCCACGACACCAGGAGACCTTCATTCTGTATCTCCTCCAAGCGGATCTCCACCTGGCGCAGAACAAATACCCGTAGTCAGGAACAGTTTCTGTTTCCATCAGGCGCTTTTTGCCCCGCTTCAAATTCAGTGACCAAAAAGCCCTCACGCCGGTGCAACAATAAGAGACGGAACGTAAGAACGCGAGCCGTCCTGGGCCTGCGGAAAGAAGCCACTGCAGAAGCCTCATCCCTCCACAGCACGATCCGGCTGCCTCGCTGCCATCGGATGCCCAGGAGCCGTCAGAGGGAAAAACGGTAGGTTATTTCTTTGGCTGAAGAAAAAGCCTGCAGGACAACCCAAAAGAGGGAGTGGCGCACTCGATACAAGACGTTTACCGAGCTACGTCAATTAATCGTCACCAAACCTAAGCGCGGCCATTTCTAAATTAGCAACGTGTCTCTAGATCATCCTCAGACCGAAAACTCATCCAGGTCACCAGTAGTCTGTGATGACACATCAGACCGTACACCATCCCGTAGTTCGGTCGAAAAGCTGCACCCCCATACACCTGAAAGGCTTCGTTAACGCAACAGACAGAAACCGAACCGCACAGGAAGAACTCCTGACCCAGTATATCTAGCAAAAACAGGGGAATGAAATTTAACGTAGTTCTAAAGCAATTGACAGTCTGACCCTTTATTTACCGTGAACACAGAAGGTCGTCGGTCAAACGACGGTCGACAGATCTGGAACGCGGTAGTCAGGTAAGTAACCGACAAGAGGTGCATAGAAGAGGCAAGGCACGTTTGGGAATATGGTACTTGAAGTATTCCGACCGACAGGCAGACGGTAACCTTACCGGCATTTCACAGCGCAGCAACGAGACCTAGATCAGAGTACCTCAAGCAATTCTCTACAGGAACCACCAACCCAACGCTTCAACAGGCACAAAGAGACCTAGAAAATGCCAGCGAGTAGAGAAGCCATTTGACGAGGCGTGACAAAGGCCACCCAACTCCCAGAGACTACACAAAGATTAAAAGCGACCGCAGTTGCTGCCCACGACTAGATTGGCAGCAGGTACGCTAAATGCCCGGGGGGCGGGGGGGGAGAGGGAGAGAGAGGAGCTATTGAAACGACCACAGAACCGAGGCGCAAAACCAAACCGGGATGACCTGATAAACGTAGGTTCAAAATTTCGATATCGCTTCCAAGAGCAAAGGGGCTCTAGAACCACCTTCCAACTGCAATACCCACGATAGCGTGGGATTGCCTTCCGCTGCCACGGTTACTTCTAATGAGCACACAGTCTCCAAGCGAGATATCACCTCCAACATCAAGCCCTTCTTCATGATGGGAATCAAATCGCATTCTAGAGAAGCAAATCCAGCCAGAAAGCAACTATGGAGTTACCACCCGTTGCAATTTCAGAGAGCTTCTGTTCTGGAAAAAGCATCTCCAATATTTAACACACAGGGGGGGGGAAAAATAAAAGTCTGTATCGCACTCCGGTGAACGTATTAAGGGGAGCGCCAAGAAGCAAACCATCCCTCACCACGGATTTCTTTTTCACGCCAACAACCAGAACGTCGCCGTAATCGTACGTACGCACAACCTATCCGTCGCACTACGAGGGGAATTGAACTCGGTGTACCTTTCGCTTCTTAAACGCACGCCCAAAAACACAGTAGAGAACGTTGCCGTGCCTCAAATCTCTCTGGACGTCGTTATGGCTACATTACGTAGCCAAGATCTGCAGAACAAGGCTCGGAAAATGGGACTCAGCACGCAGATCAGGAATACTTGCCGCCCCGCCCAACGTTAGTGACAGCAAGCACGCTGCTGCTTCTGGCACAATGCGGTCTTTATTTACGCTAAATCGGGTCCTCCTTCCTTGAACGGCGTGGGGCTGGGCGAAAGAACAAGTTCAACGGCTAACTTTTTACAACCGTTACCTGAGCCTGCAGCACAGCCAGAGTGACATGATAGGTGTCCACAGAAACAGCGACCGGGGACTGCTGAGTAACAGAGACAGGGAATTTCACAGCTTCAGCTGACAGGTGGCAGGACAGCACCTAGAGAGAAAAGGAAGGAGGTGAGTTTATATCCGTGGGGAGAGGCAGCCGTGCGGCGGCAAAACATCTAAAAGCAACAGGCAAGGTTGACCCGTCGCGGCAGGAAAGGAGCATCGGGCTTACTCCCAGACCCAGTTCCGCACTCCAAACCTGTCCTTTCAGACTCCGTATGCGAGGCCATAAGGCGTATCGGCGACAGGAGCTCTCTTCTCCTCCCAACGCAGGACCCCGATATTCGGGCTCAGCATCCGTATGCCCCAGCTCCACCAACAAATTCCCCCCGGGGCCTCTCCCAGAGCTCACTGAAGCACAGCTTCAGAGCCGCAATATCACGAGCCTGTCAAAAGGCCTCCAAACCCAACCGCAGACCTCGCCCGAAACTTCCCCGCTTCCACCATCCCCGTCGCACGAGCCTCCGCAATCTCCATCGAATGCGCCGTCGGTCGACGGAGAAACCCCACACCATACGATTCAGAACGGCAAAGCCTTACCATGCTGCGGTCCGACTGTCCCTCGCACATCACGCGACTTATATGCGCAGCTGGTGGTAACTGAGGACACTCTTCAAACGTGATCTGCACCGAACTCTAGGAAAAGAGAATTCCGTTAGTTCCCAGCGGTTAAGGTATCCCAGATAGTTTCAGAGAGGACGAACGATTCTGACGTGCAGCCCCAGAGATGCTCTGATCCGTTTCCATGAATCCGGCCAGCGCGCGGATCCGTCGCACGGCGCAATTTCACCCACCTTGGCTTGTCCAGACAGGGAAAAGAAGCAGCAAAGTCTCCGGTCAAGGCTTAGACTCACAAACGCTATGTTAATTTCAGACAGGCAAGCCCAAAAGAGCATGGAAGATTGTTCTAAACAGACCGACGCAGGTGACAGGCAGAAGGGGGGGGGGAGAAGGGGCTCTCGGACATTAATCTGACCGGCATACGTATTACAAGCTGAAGAGCCGCTTGCCTGTCAGAAAGCGGTCTGGACGAACGCCCTCCTCTCAATGCAGGCACGAGGCAGCTCTCCCAGCGACCAAACTTCAAAACCGAAAGACTCAACAGAGAAACAACATTGGATCGCTCCCTGCTGCTTCAAACCAGTAACGTCTGCCATTTCTTCTTCTCACAAGTCTCCTCCACCGGAGCCATGCGTTCGTCCACTCGTGTCAGTCCAGAACGTCAGATCAGCCCTTTCTCTCCGTGACCAGAACCTCTGTCCGACGACTCAAGCATATAATCCTCAGCGGCAAGCTGTCGCCCTGTTCTTCCCAGTATGCCGCAGTCTCGCTGAACTGGGAGGCGCCGGTCAACTTCAAAAGATCTCGTCACTCAGCCCGCTAGGAACGAACCGTGTGCGCAAAATCGCGTGAACCTATATATACCCCAAGGCAGGGAGAAAACACCGGAAAAATAAAACAAGGAGGGTAGCGCACGCTCGAGAGGCGACTCAATTCCTTTCAAACCTTTGCCCCGTTTTAAGGCACGTCACTTAAAAGCCAAACAGGAAATACGAGCTGTGAACATTTGAAGATCTACAGAAAAAGAGCGACGCCTTGTGACTGAAGCCACTCTCTCGAGTGCCGAGGATGAGAATGAGACGCAGCCGGGAGGCGGATCGACCCTCATCTGCCCGCTGCCAGCTCCCTCTGATCGCGCTCCTAGAAGAATCGGCCCGAATTCAGACGCCGGCGCGCTCTGACCACAAATGCGCTCCTATAAAGCTCCTCCCACGTGCCTTACATTCTCACGTTCACCGCGATTCGGAAACACGAGGAAATGCAGGCAAATCTAGACCTGAGCAAGATTAGGACATATTCTTTTAAAATTCACCAAGCTGAAAAAAGCCATGCAGAAACAAAAAACCACAGGAGTAAACAGACTATCATGAGGGAAGCAACTGAATAGCGTTCCTCCACGACTAGGGCTCTGGAACACTCTGTAATCCTTTTATGGCAAACCATGAGACTTCTACTCCAGTTCCGTCCTTTCCCTTTCTCAGGACGCAGAAGGGAAAATGAGACAGGACACCCACAGGACGGTAAAGATAGCCACGGGCCACCGAGACAGGAATCTACAGTCATTCCCCAGCCGTACCGGCAAGCCTGCAGAAGCGGGCTTAGAAATCTGAGGGCCGAGACCCTCCGCCGTTCCGCATCCACACCGAGAGCCCGATGTACTCACATCCATCCGCTGTTCCACGATAAATCTGCTATTAAACCCAGCTCTGCAGAGCTGCCTTTCCTTAGAGCTTTTTGTCAGTCGATACAGCTAAAAGGAAAAAAATACGACGGAGAAAGGAGCTAAGAATAAGTCTACCTGGGAGAAAGCGAGACCGCTCACTTCCAAGCATAAACCTATCTCTCCTCAGAACTTACAAGGAGAGCAGGGGCAGAGTCAGACCAGGAGCAGGGAAGAAACCACTGACAACTGCAACGAACGCTATCGGGCCTTACCTCCCTTCCCTCTGAGGGATGCGAGAATAATTTTGTAGGAGACAGGAACTCGGCGGGGGGGGCGCGTGGAGGGCCGCAGGGGAATGCTTTTTTTGACGAGGGTCGTGCATTTCCAACGACAGAATCGCCGTCGGTTCCGAGCCAAGGTTTACCCAAAACTACAACGCACCGCAAAAAAGGAGACGCAGCTTCTCCTTCGAGATCTTGGCAAATGACGGGACTATCCTTTACACAACTTCGTTACAAAAACAAACCAAAACAAAAAAACCCTCACACGCCGCCAGCCCAGAACAAGTCTCCCGTTCTGCGGTCCTCGGAAGTCGTGCGTGTGCCACACAGAGAAGGCTGTAGTCAACCCGAGGCTGACTTCACCTCATCACGCTGAACTTTTAAAAGACTGAAAAATTTTTTTAAGACAATACTCCTCCAATAACAGTTAGCGCTTTCATATTATTAAGTCCCTACTCTTTTTGCATTTGGCAGTCCCCTAGATTGCACAAAACCGTAATTCCTCAGGGCACGCAACGAAAAGTTACGCGGCCTTGCAATACATCAGCAAAGTTGCAAGGACCAAGACTAAAACACACTTACTACTTCTTCTGCCGGCACAGCCTCCTGATGCTACAGGCTGTAACGTGAAAATTCTCAAATAAGTCAACAGAGAGTTCCTTGGCAGAACGCATCTCACAAAACTCGGCACCGAAGCGCTAGCTAAAAGACAAAATGCTAATTTGCAGTTGTTTTATAACCCGACAAAGCCATACCTCAAAACCTACTGCATTATAAAGGGTAGTTGCAAGTCTAGGCCAAACGTTGCAACGCAGTTAACTTCCTACACGGATTGCAAAGTTGAGATGCGACCGAAGTCATTACACAAACCGTTATCATCTCGAATGAGAACGATGTATCTCTGCGGCTTCGCAAGCACTACTTGGATTCGGGGCCCACGCCAAGTCTTCCACCTCCATCCCCGATTGAAGCCTGTGCCGTTTCTTCTGCGAGTCTGAGAAGAATTTCCATGTCTTAATTCCAAGGCTCAAGGAGGAAACACTAGCCAAAAGATCATTGCTATCTCTTTCCCACGACCAGTCACTTCACCCCATTTTACAAGGACCAGGGGCTGAGTGCTGGAATTCAATGGCTCGAAAGCAGGCCACTGGCAGGAACGGGATGCCTGAGGGGTGGGAGAAGAGAAGGGTCCGAGACAGGGTATTTTTCCCCAGTTAAATGGCCACAAGCAGCTCCAGGTAACTCCCAGCCTTATCCTGAATCCCACAGAAGACACAGCCCCCTCGGACAACTGCTGGGCACCGCTTCAGAGAACAGCTTTTAGACTAGCAACTCGCTGTGGCAACGCCCCTTTCCGAGTAGATCTGCCCCAGATGAGGAGCAACTGCAGCAGAAACTGAAGCGTGGCCCTCCAGGGGCCTCTGTGCCATTTCAGACATCAGCTAATCTCCTTACAGGAGTTCCAAGTTCTGGAACTTAAAAATTCAGGTCATTTTGTAGAATCTGAGGAATTTGGCACATGACAGAGGAGCGTATCAGACATGGGCGACCGCGGACACGCGACCGCAGCATTCTGACAAGAGGGGCACGGAAGAAGAGGGCGCGTTTCTACAGAGGGAGGCGCTCGGCAAACGTTCTCACCTCTGTTCAGTCCCTCACGCGAGTCCTCTCTCCAAAGAGGGAAGGCCTCTGCCTGCGCGTGCTCCGTCCCAGAGAACTGCCCTCAACTTTCCCGTCAGGTCTTGAAAAGAGAAGCAGCGGTTGCCGTGGCTTGCCCCGTGCAAGCCACCGTACTGAGCCAACCGCAGGGGGGCCGCTAAGCGTCGCTCGCGGCAGCGGGTCCCCTCGATACAACACGCATCGTATCAGAACAAACTTACTTTCAGTCACAAAAAGAAAGAGCTGGCTTTGAGGATTCAACAGCAGCACGATCCGCAGGGTTTCAGCTTCCACACAATAAAGCGGCCGATCGTATCCTGACACTCAGAAGTTTTCCACGGCAAAAAGGCGCGGATCTCGGGTTCGATGCTGCGTCTGGCTACTTGCAGGACCAGGTGAAGGCAGGGAAGAGGAGGGAGGGGGAAAAAAGGAATGGAGGCAGGCAGAAGGAAGAACTTTAGCAGCTGGCACATTAAACACCAGATCAAGCTTCTCACATCTTACTCAGTGTAACTATCAAGAGCATAATCTTACGGTACATCATCTAGTCTCATTTAGTTCCAGACAAATTATCCCGTTCCAATGGCCTGCGGCAGGTCGTCCCGCAGCCACCTTACACGGCACCACCCTCTCGTTCTTCTTGAGCCTCATCCTGTAAGATCAAGAGCACAGCCCAGTTAGTAGTCATTAGGCTGCTACTCATAATCAGTTCTACTTTCTCTCAGAGGAGTCAGGCCCGCACCCTCGACTCCTCCTGCCCTCAGTACACTTAAGGGACTGCTTTGCAACTCTCAGAGTACGATGAAGGTTTCCAAACTCATTCCAAATAACCAGTACAAAAAATGGGACATGAACACAACAACGGGGCCAGTCGATCCTCCCCCTCTCCCTCTCACCCCCCCCAAAAACATCTGTTCCCATTTTCTAACGCTTCTGACGCCAGCTAGATCTAAGGCCGGAAAGAGAGAGGGTGCCACGACATTTCTGTTAAAAAGGACAATTTCGCTTAGCCCAAGTAGCGACGAAGGAGAAACTCTGCCAACCTTTCCAAGTCAATCTGACGACGCAAAGGAGGAGGCGAGGAGTCACGGAGCGGAGAGAACTTCAGGTGGGAAAGCAAAGGACCAAACACGACGGAACAAAGAAAAAAAATTTTCCTTCTTCAAAAGGAAAACAATAAAAACTAGCTAGGGAGCATCAGCAAGACGGGTCCAACAAACGAAATCTGTCCCAAACAGTGGCAAGAAGCAACGCCCAGCTTCACGAGCAGAGTCTCTGACACACGTCCAAAGAGGAAGACACGACATACGTTAAGACGAGCGTTAAGAAAGGTAACATTCAGAACAGGTCAATTCCCTGATCCGCCTGTAACAGGCAGAAGATATAATCTAGCAGGTAAAAACATCAGCTGGATAACAGGGTTACACAATCCTAAGCGGACAGCCCACCTGCGTTCGTACCCACGCAATACTTCTCGAGGCTGATTCTACCTATTTCTTAGAAGAACAAAGCTCGCCTTGAGACGCGCTATTCTTCCAAGTAGTAACGCTCCAACGTCTCGGCTCGTAGAAGCGACGAGACAACAAAGTGCCTCAGAAAACTCACCGTTCCCACACCGCCAACATACAGGGTACCAGAAGCAGGTAGCACCAGCTAAGGGCTTCCTTTACAAAACCGCTAACAGTCTGCGTTCTAAATCTTCGGTGGGTTTTCGTAACCTTTCAAAAGGAGCGGAGGACAATGGTTTTAAACGTCCCCTGCCCCACCACACTCGACACCAGTAAAAGAAAAACATTCCCAGTCCGAGGCTCGAAAAGGAACGCAAAAGCGGCTCGTTACGCCTAAATATCCCATTCCAGTCCTTTTGCGCCTGCTAATGCCGGGAGGCAACCGTCATCTGAAAACAACCGCAGCCCTGCTCTGCACTCGAAAGGAGATCATTTGAGTAAATCCTTTCGGACCCGGTTCTGCTCTACTACAATTAAGGACTACAGAATCTCAAGAACACCACAGTTTGACCAATGCATTTAAGATTTGCTCCCTTTTGCGCCATGACTTTCAAGTATAACCGCTTAACAAGCCTTACTAACCCTTCCGCTCTCGAGACGCCAGACAACACCGTCTACTTCGAGCAGGAAAACAAAAGGCCAAAATTGAACTACCCCATGCTTGCCGATGAAGTTAAGGGCTCCTTCGGTAACGTCGCAGAAGATGCTCATTTGCCTTCCACGGCCTTTATTCAAACGGCCGTATATCGCACTGGTGCGGCTTACATGCTGGGTAACCGGAAAGGACTTCCCCCAAAAAAGACAGGTACCGCACAGGCGACACGTAACAAAACCAAGCATTTCTTCCTGAGTTAACTTCCTCAAAGATCCGTCGTCTTTGTCTCATCCCAGCAAGTTATTATTTACCCTGAGGTAAATGAAAAGGCAGAGAAACAAAGAGCTGCAGAAGGCAGGCTGGAAAAACTGGCGGGCGGACATTCCCAAGGGAGCCAAAGTCACAACGTTACCCACGGGGTTGGACTTTACGAAGCCTATTACGTTTATACGACTAACAACGGTTGGGGGCAGGAGGAGTAATAATTTCTCCTTCGTCCCCACCTTCACCAATCGCCTCATTTTTTCACGTGGCCGTGCTGTACCAAGAGGTCCGCTTCTCTATCCTACCTGTAGTCCAGAATTTAACTCACTTGGTCAAAAGGGAAGGGACTTTTCCAATCTCATCGGAAAACTCGAACGCAAGTTCGCATCGCGTTCTTCAAGATTTAATTTCCTGTTCGTCAAATGCATTTGCTTCACACTAACCTTTTTTTAGCTCTTGATTTTCCCACGCGACTTAACAGGAAGGCTCCCCCCCTTCCTGTCCCCAGGACGCGGCGG